ATATATACATGTATATATATCAATTTCTGTTGTGCATTTGGCATTTTTTCATTGTTGACAGGTATCGGCCAAGTTCAAATCAAACGTGGACGAGATGTTTGCAGAAATCGTTCGGGAAATGAACGTTCTCCCATCGAAGGGCAAAGCCGATGGCGTATGCTGCTGTTGCGTGCTTATGTGATAATTATATACAAATACATGTATTGCACAGATGATACACACAAATAACACGAACAATATATGGACAGTTAGTTCGATAAAAGCCTACAATAATAGATGAGAGGGGACACTCGTATTGAGATGATAAAAGATTATTGACCTTGACTAACATCCGACTGAGAACCATGGAGTCCGGGAAGGTCCTAGGAGGTAGAGGACAGGGTGGTGGTGGTGGTGGCAAAGCAGATAGCGAAAGAACAAGCGCAAACCTATCGATGATTCTACCAAGGACCATATAGGACAACTTAGGGCCACCGCTCAAGACACCATCGGTACCAAGCCAATCGTAAATGGAGCTGTTGTTTCAATCCGCCGATGAAAAACAAATCTAAGTAGGAGGTCATGTTTGTAGAGGATAGTAGTGGGCGGCTTCTGTCAAGTTGACTCGGTTACGCGTCTTCAATTGGTTGTACGTTGCATGGGCGGTATACCTGCACTAACTAAAGATTTAACTGTACAATTCTCGTATGAAAATAAGCTGTGTGCAGCACTGGATTTACTGCCGGAAACTAGAGGACCAATGGCCCTAATGGACGTTGTTTAGGGCTGCGGCAGGAACTATGCCGCTTTATTTCCATCATAAGTCCATTTCGTGGCTGTAAAGTTTAACGGCAGCCTTCTGCCTCGAAGCTTCCCCAGTGATTGAACTCTTATGACTGAGTGCGTTGAAGCAACGTGAATGCCTGTGATGTTGTTCTAAATGAATGTGGACTTGTGTTCTACGACCAACCAAATAAAATGTGGAATCGAGGGAGTTGATGCTCATATCAAATTCACTGAAGCATTCTATAGGATCACCGTTATTCATTCTACTGTTATTAAGCGTCAAGAGCCTTTAGTTTGACATTTCTTCGAAGACGCCGATAGTTTATGAAAAGGTGTTTGCGCGTAAAGGTCCTTCGATGGGCGATTTCGGACGCAACGTCGCTTTGAATGAAGTGGTAACAGATAAGGCATTGCCGAGATGAAGACCTTTGCGAAGTCGAAATTGCACACATTGGACTATTAAAAGCTAACACTAATGCTAACTGACATAGTCTGTGTTATGAGAAAAAATATACTTCCAGGGTCGGGAACCAAGTTTTTAAAATATGATTACATTTTTTGTTCGCTCGCCACAGGCTGTTGGTGATTCCAGCAGCCCTATTGCTTGAGGACGGTCTACAATGTATATGTAGAATACATATGTGTTGCAGAAAATTGAAAAAAATGTAGAACTTTTTCGTGCGGCAGTAGTAACAGTAATGACAGTAACAATGCTTGTTAACACGACATGAATACGTACCCAGACATTCAACTCTGTGGAAATTAAGACCCGTTTTATTTATACAATAGTGTAATACAGTACAAATTAGATCCGTGTGTCAGCTGGGTAAAATCTGAGTTACACTAATTAATGATCAGTTAAGGACGCGGTGGTTGATACGATCACACAATACTTAAGTGCCCTAGGCCACAAGAACAAGCATTGCGACTGCGCGAAAAGTTTATCACTAATGCCGTAGGATGATGAAGTGTCGCTCACACTGCAAACGGTCGACTGTGTTTCCTTAAAAAAGAAGAAAGATAAACGTTTATTTTGTGTTTAAAGTGATGTGTACTGTTAATGATCGATCGTTAGTGTGAGAAGTAGGTACTTGTTATATTTTGCTCACGTATGCCCTCCTTCTTAAGACTCGTTTTCAACTGTGTTTCATTGATTCCATATGTGTTTGTATGCACCGGCTAAGCAAGGGAGTAATACCGCGTACGATTGCATACTAAACGAGAAAGGCGGGTAGACTTAGTGGAATCCATTGCTTTCCCTCACACGGTGGTTACATGTTAGTAGAGACGAAATACGACAATGAGATGACTTTTAGCAGTACGTTCATTGACTACTTAGGCTTTTTTTGTTTAGTATTTTACCCGACCCTGGCTCGCCTTCGACCCTGTAGAACCCCCGGGGGTTAAAAGCTGACATCCGACACGTGACAGACGTATGCGATTCTTTGAAAGATGACTTGAAAATGATGGATGTCTGATTTTTCTCGTTTTTCTCATACACTAGTTTTATAATGCAGTGAACGTCACTTAAATAATGCAAGCTGTGAAAGAAGAACTTGCACCCATTGAACAGCGCGTTTTACCTCTCGCCGCCATATCCACCTCCCCGATCTCCGAGGTTACTTCTAAAACTTAGCATCAACACGCCTTTCGAAGGATCAAAATGTGCTCTTCTTCCGTAATGCGATTATCATATTTCGTTACGATATTATTTTTCCTAGAAAGTGTTTTCTGAAGAAATTTCCCTTTCTTTAACTTTTAAAATAACATTGTCTTCATTTCATGATGAACAACGAGGACGCTTTGTACAGGCGCTTATTGCTTTAATACTCCTTTGGAATCACACACGGACACATCCGACTACTGACTGTATATAAACCTACTATATATAAAAACGTAGATAATGAATAGACGACGATTATGATGGTGTCGCTGATGCGAGAGATGGCATGAAAACGAGAGCAAACAATAACGATATACATAGAATAAGTAAAGAATATACAAAAAAAAAAAACGAAATAATGTGAGAAATTACTTCCGCATTGCAATGTAGGTAACTAATAATTTTTTCTTGTACCACGAGAGTAATCACCAATAGAAGCGTCAAAGCAACAACAACAACAATTTTTTTAAGCAAACAACAATAAATACGCAGATGTCGTAATATTCGAAGGACGTGTTGCAAACAACTAAGTTACTGAATAGAACTAAACACAGAAGATCTGGAGTGTAAATTATTCGAAAACATGGTCGATACCTAGCAATTTATCTATCTATTGAATGTCATTAAATTAACGAGAAAAAAGCCACCATTATTAACATCTTACTGTAACTTCATAAAAAAAAATCTATTAAATTTGATCAGTTTATTTTACTCCCATACATCTACGAGTGTGTGCTACTTTTTTCAGTATAGAATTAATAAAACTTTCCAGCTTGAGCAACGGTACATAGACAACATTTATAAAACGTATTGAAACAAGAAGTCATTTTAGTGATGTATCCTGACGAGAGGGACAGGGTAGCAGGAGGATGAGAGGTCGATAAGAAAGACATCAAGCTTTAAGCTGGTTCGATCGTTAACAGCTCGTTAATATATATATATATATATATATATATATATATATATATATATATACATATATATATATATACACGTAGACATACATAAGCATGCTGAACGTGGCAAATGATCAGGGACGACAAGAATAGCGCGCCATTGAGGGTGGCAGGCGCGGGTTCGTTTGAAATATCGGAAATTAAACGTAGGCTACTAGACGGGAACGATAAATAGATGTGTCATTAAGCGACACGCCGTTTTTAATATTAGAGTAAACGATAATAGTTAAGTGGTGAAAGTTATTAGGACGCTAACACGAAGATAGAGCAAAAGCGAAATCTAGGCCTTCCGTCATTTTTTATGGCTCCGAAAAGAAAAGCTGTACTCATTGTGAAACATGTATTTACTCATTGAACGCTAATTAGTCGTCTCATATTTCGACCTCTTTTCTTCTGTATTGAGAAAGAACGATCAATGATTTTATCATAGTAATGGGATTTTTTTAAAACTACGAAAGCCATGCTACAGAAATAATGAAGACAGGTTTATCGTTCAGACAGGGCCCATCATAATGACAGCGATAATTATATATACATATTCACAGTGATATTGGTAAATACAACTATTATTACTGTTAATAAATACCTATATATTGTAACGATAGGCGTTTGTCCTTTACCTTTTTGCAGATCCTCTAAATAATGTTCAAAGTGACGTTCTATAAAGATACGAAGATATGAGTGACATATATATATATAGCTAAAATCGTTGATGAGAAATATGGTAAGCTACTGACGCTGCGGAAGGCGGCAATAAATGCGGAGAAGTACTTGCTGTAGAAAATTAACAGAAATTAAAATTTTAATTTGAAAATTGAAAGTAAGGAAATATGAAATAATTAAAATGTGTTAGCGTAAAAACTACTAATAAAAGCATTTAAAAAAGGAACCAATCGCACTATTATGATAGCATTTCGGCGTCCAGTTTGTTCTTCCAAACTATTACATTACAAGAATGGAGCCAACACCGTGTTACATATAAAAGAAAGAAACGTAGCCAGCAAAAACAAAACAATAGAAAAAAAAAATATATATATATATATAACGTGTATGAATGTAGAGCAAAAAATCTTCAGTGATTGAGTTTTTTTTCTTTGTTTTTCTCACTTTCTGCAGGCTTTTAGTAAATATGTATTAAAAATTAAATACGTTTGGAATTAAAAATTGGATGAGAAAATTAATTAAATAAATATGGAATTATTGATTATATATGCAAATATAGGTTCTTTTTATCAGCAATATAAACAAAACCGAAGCCAAGCAGACATTTAATACTTATGCCCATATGCATAATAATCAAGTAAAAATTGACTCCTTGTGCTGCTGTTGCTATTGTTGATGATCTTCATCGAAATTTATGTAATAGTCTCAAGCAATAAATGACTATAAAAATAAATTTAACCCAGTTTGCCACGGGTCACGCTTAAATTGCCCAAAAATTGATTGTATTATTTTAGAACATATAGCATCTTCGAAAACGTAATTCCATGTGAGGTTTAGGCGTATCTATAATATTAACTGCTCTTTGCTTGAAAGTTTGACACTCCTCTATCAGTACAGACCATCGTATTTCGAAACGGCAGCCATTCAAGAGGTCTGCCACAATTCATTATAGTGGAAGTGGAGCGTTCTTCTACATTACTACCCACTGTATATAGGAAGAGCTCGCAATATCAAGGTCGCTCGCCACTCCTATTAATCCTAATCCTTCTTTACAACGAATCAGAGGAGTCTGAAGTATTCACAGTATTAAAAAGTGTTGACATCGGCCTTCCGGAATAGCTCGTTCAGTATCGGTATCTACAACGCTACAAACGAACATGTATGATATAGGGGTAGAACTATACTCTCAATGCGTCCTTATCTAGATATCACAATATTATTCTCTCTTCTGGTAGTTTGTTTCTATATTATTATTTGTAATAATGATAACAAAGTAAACAAATAAACGACAATAAAAAACAAGGTAGACCTGCAACAGCAGAAATGATTAAAAATATATTCACATCAAAAACGTACGAATACAGTCTTGTCTTTGTTGCCTTATGTAACAGCATCCAGTGCTGACATATTCAGTGCATAGCGTGAACCTGAAGCAATCTGATGCTAAATTTAGATGTTCTTCTTACGTGGATTTTTCGCAGTGTTTGTTTTGCTAGCCTTATCATATGATATTCATACATAGCAGGGGAAAATAAAACAACTCTCCCCTTCTGCGCCCAGTCAAGCATCTATTGCAGTTGGCCTCGCGGCTAGTGATAAATAGAGCAGCTGTTACCGCAAATGGTGCTTATTCGATAAATACAGAAGTATGTGGACAAGGAGGGTTTCGTCTATTGTGTGGACTTCTATTGTTCTTAGCAGTCATTAGTGACGTCCATTGTTTGCCTCTGGGGGGCTGGAGGGGGGACAAACATTTGGTCAAATCGTCTGTACGTCTGTAGCGCTTAAGGATATTAGCAAGAAAAGTATTTGAAGAAAACGATCATGTCTAGCTGAATTTTAATTCAGTCAATGTTCTTGTTACTAATGCAAATCCATGATCAGCTACCGTGTTCAGTCTTAACTTTATATTGTAAGTTAAGGCTAAATACTTGACAAAAGAAAGCTCTTATTAGTGATATGATATTAAATTTCAATTTTCTTAGTTATATTATACGTGAATTAGCCTTAATAGTCACATAGCGTTCACGGAATCAGGACTCATTAGCAACTGATGTTCCATTACGTTCAGATTAAGCTTTCCTCTTTTCCTTACACAGTTAAAAATGACTAGTAAACTAAGAGCTGAAACCTTTTTTGCTGACGAGGAGACATAATCACTCGTCACACAACAATATATATATTGCTGTATACAATTATGCATACATTGATGTACATTTTTCCATACGAGAGACGGTGCTTTTAAGATGGCGTTTATGAGTTTAGTTGGTGGCCTGGGGACTCCTGCTTCAAGCCGATCACGTGCCTAGGGCAACAAAAACGGTCGATAAAGAGGAGTGATAGCATTTTAAAGGGATGGAGAATATATATATATACATAACGTTCACCTTTGTTGCCGTTTTCGTTCGTCGACGTTCAAGTGTTATGTGTCACTGAAAAGCTCTTAATCTGCTCGCTCTAAAGATGGGTACATCTTTAGAGCGAGCAGATACCATTTTCAAAAAGCTTTGATAGGAACTTGCGATATTTTTTCGCGTTTTATGAGAATTCTATAATTAAAAAATTGTTTTCCTTCAAAAATGCCTAAAGGTAAAGCCTTTGATGAGTTCCACGAGTCGAGTAGGATGCGTTGTTAGGCCAAAGATACGCTGTTTAGAACTAGTAAATCACTTTTTAACGGTATGTTCAACTATAAAGTTTTCATCGTAACAGCACAGCCCGCTGTGCACATATTCCGGCTTGGTTCGGTAGCCTTTTTGACTTCAATAGAAGACAAGAGGGGAATGTCTAAAATGCTGTTCTTTTTTACTCTATATCCGCAACTTAGAGTTTGAACTCAAGCTAAACTTCTGTGATCGGAACAAACGACGGAAACTGCTTTATCGAAAACAACAATGACCTTCTTAGGAATACACAATAGTTGACCACCAACAAGTGAAGAATTAGAAACGGAAAGCAATAAACAAAAAGAGTAGTTTCGTATGCACTTACCTAATACATCATATATTGAAATACTCGTTACCAGTATTTTCATCGCAAAATACAACCACTAATAGGTACTTGTTCTTAAGTAAAGCTAAATAATCAACGATGTTATTTACTTCACGGCAAAGATGGCTGTTAGATATAATAATATTGATAATAATAATAACGATTCAATACGTTTTGTATACTACGTGGGTTATACGATATAGACAAGAAATTCGAAACAGCCAAACAATTGAGGCTCTCCTATAGTGAAGCCTTATTTCCCTGCGAAGTTTTGCCGCGTGGACGGTTCAAAGCGCTAACAGGCATAGTTGCTAAAGAAGCCCAGTACACTACCCGGCTACGGCCATGATATTAACACAAAATCAAGGAGCTATTTGTGACTATTTCACGAATACAAATGCCTGTTAAATTTCTATTATTGCACATTCATATAGCATTATATTTTACATATAATTACGTGCATTGTGAAAGCTATGTATGTGGCGGTCTCGTGGGGACTAAAGCACCATCAGCGGAATCGTCGAGGCCGCTACGAAAAAACGTGCGCTATCGGTCGACGGTAACACGGAATGAGCAGATCGATTTTTGGAGGTAAAAAATTGTTTAATCTGAAATACCGCTTTATTTTCTGTAACTGTAATTGACGTTTATGGTTATCACGGAGGGTATCTATACCCTTCTACATCAAATCTTCTCTAGTAACAAACGAACAGACTGCTTAAAGGAAAAAGGTTTTCCATACTGTGTTCGGTTTTCAGACAGAAGGTCGCTAGGCTATAGAAACTGCCTTGGCAAAAAGACTGACACCTTTCTGCTTTGTGCAGCGCTCTTATGCTTTTGAAAAGATTTCTCGTATCAAACTTTCATATTACAGGGGAGCTTATATGAGTGACGATCAGTTTGTGTCAGGGGGGGGGGAATAAGGTGTATAAGGGTGTATAAGGGGAGAATTCTGCGATCATATTTTAAACGTTGTCCACACCCTTAAACTTAGTGATTAAAAAAGCGTATGTATGTTTACAGACATTGATGTACAGTCAATACAAACTATTGTAACCTAAAACTACTATTATTATTATTATTATCATTGAGATTGGCCGCTATTTTTGTCGTAAGGTAACGGGAGGGATGTGTCGATGGTAGGGCATCACTCAATCATTCCCGTACGAATAACTTGCGTTCAACAATTCACCGCTCGCACAACCGACTGTTTTTCTGTTTATTATCAATAACATATTCTTCTAACTTGATGAGTGCCTTTGATGTAATGTCACTTAATTTCAGTGTAAGTTATAGTAGTAGTAGTAAGCTCCTGGAGCGATAGGGTTTACGAAACTCGATTCGCTGTTATTTGTCGGGTGATCATCTTCGACTGTCCGGGTATCAGACAGAAACATATCGTTCCAAATGAGTTTGCTTCCATGTTAGATGATCGGAGGTATATGCAAATAGATGTATGAATGCCATTCATTTTTTATTAAAAAAAACACCTGTATACACTTATTTATATATATATATACGAGTATTAAAAACAGGGAAAAAGTGTATATTTGCAGTCACTAATATATTTACAACGAGCAAATGCAAACGAATTTTTCTTCAATTCGATAGCAAATGGTCTTTGATCATTTTAGCTTGCGATAATTACTGCTGACTTTGGCAAAATGACGAACGTCTAGCAACGAAAATATCGCCTCTCGAATTGAGACAAGAGCCAGATGAAGATTGTGAGTGGTCGCGTTACTGCTACCTCTCAAATCTTTCCTCCATCGTAATGCCTCGCACGTACACGATCTCATCTAGATAAATTACTGCTACGTTTAGTTATTATTACGATGACATGAATAAAGAGGTAGAGGCCCAAGCACTTGATGATATCTTCCATCGATGTGTATATAGTTAATTGCTATATAACAACTAGAGCTTTTCTACAACATCAACAACGATATAATTATCAGCAGCATAAACAACGATTATCAGTTGATTAACTAGATAAGTAATTCAAAAAACCAACCAGATACAATAATCGTATAGAGAGCATCAATGAGTGTTATGATGATGTTGCAGCGTTCATAGTTTACTTCCTTTGGCATGCACTGTATCATTAAGTACATTCACAACAACAACAACAACAACAACAACAACAACAACAACAACAACAGCAACAGCAATCATACTAATCGTAAAAGCTATGCAAATGGTCGTGCTTCGCTCTCGACTAATAGAATTTTTACGCTGTACCTCTCCTACAATGTTCAGGTAGTCGATGCCATCAAAGAGACAAGCACAAGTGCCCTGAACTATGGCGCTAATTACGGACGATAACTGATTAGAGGGCAAATATAATATTGATTCATTCAAAATGAGAACGAACAATGCGTGAAAACTTTCACTTTAAATTCATTCAGGTTAGTTGGCCATAAAGATTCGCTTCTGAGAAACAAATACAAGCCCACCCAATGTTATTTTCATGACCTGAATCTGACGTAAATACTGTTGTTCGTGCCTATGGCGCGTACAGGCGAAACAATCGAAGTGCTTTGCCCTACAGGTGTAGCACCTCGATACTGCAAGCGTTAGGCTATCAAAATCGTTACTTTTTTTTTAGCGAGAAACCACAGTCCGTTCACTGGTCGTACGCTAGCTCCCTTTAAATCATCCTTGGACCTGGACAACTCTCAGTAGGAACCCCACTATCAATAGCTTCCGTGGAATATATGGTCCAGCCTATAAGCGTTCGGTAGCGATGGTCGAAGTAAACGTATGCATTCGCTGTTAGTTGTATTTTTTTTTAAGTGTACGGGCAAACGCTTGAAAATGTCGCCGCCCTCCTCCCCCCACACATAAAGAAATCCTTTGACGACGTTATCGGTGTAAAATGCCATCAATAGTTATCCTTGCAATAACTATGATCGAATATTGAGCGCCGGTTAGAAAGCCGCTCATGTTTTTACCCATTTATACTTGTGTACACATGAACATTTTCACATCAAAGAACCTTATTGATGTTTTTAAAAAAATCCATTCGATCTTAGTATGTTGCAGTTTATCGCACGCTAATTTTGATCAATATTGTAATTTTTCCTTTATAGTGTGGTCTGTCATATAATAGAGCTGTAGCCTACGAACGGTTCCTTTTTGTGTAACCAGCTACTTAATAATCAATGGTAAATATATAATTTTTTCTCTATTGCTCTTTGCACGGTCACCATTTCATGCCGTCAGACGAAATTTGTCTTCGCAATGCACCAGCTATACGGATTTTTATCTACTAGATGTTGTATAAATGTATGTCATTACACTAGTGTAGAAATCTTACTGAGAAAATCCTTCGCTCACGTCGTACGGTGCGATCTGGGCGTCGATGACGAGCGCGAAAGCTCGAGAGAACCAGTCTGTCACACACAGCAGGCATAACCTTCTCACTCACTCACGCAGACGAAAAACTCAAAAATCATTCGTAATAAGCAGGTGCTTCTTCTGTCCTGCCTAGAGTAGAAACTTGCCATAATAATTACTTAAAGAATAGGACAAGATATCAGCCACATGACTGGAGTGTGCACGCTTACAGCTGATATGGGAAATGTACAAAACCATTTAGTGGTACTGTGCCATCAATAACGCAAATGCTTTTCCCGAAGGACTAAACCTATAAACTATACTGTTAGTGACATTCGCCTTCAACCGCAGGTCTAATGTGGGCCTATTCGTTTATTAATAATCGCCGCTGCAATCAACGGAATCTGCTAACAAAAAGATACTTCACCACCTTAATCGTTTTATGCTGCTTCAATGCTATCAACTTCGAACAGTAAAAAGGTCCCTTCTAGGCTTTTGGCTAAAAGTCTTTTCACGACCACGCATCATCACCATGCCCTGTCCCTATTGTACGTACACAACAAACCCACCGTCTGCCATTATCACCTGTAACGATAACGAAAAGCGTACAACGTTCCGATTTAAGGGCGGCAATCGGCACCGAAAAATTTGCCGCTTAAAATTTTCTAGTCTCAACAAAAACGATCGGTCAATCAACTCTTCGAATTTTACGTCCAGTACCGCCATCAAGCGCGGCCCGGCGCCCTGATTTAATGAAAATTTGTTATGATCCTTAATGTCGATACTCTTATGCATTATACAGACGCGCCGCAGGGTCTTGTAGCGTGCGGATCGCTTGAAGCCAGTCGTCTTAATGAGGAGTGGCCTCGATCGCGTCGACAACCTGCCTTCGGGCATCAGAGGCCGCTGGTTCTGTGGAGTGGAGCTGTGACTGCGGACTCTGAAGATGACTGTGATTATGATAATGATGATGCTGCTGGCGATGACGTGGCTGCGATGGCGGGGACGGCGGCTCAGTTAGAGAGTGAAATATAATAGGGGTCTGCTGTGCCGCTTGTTCGGTAGTCGTTGCCACCACCGCTGCTGGATAACGTTGTCCATGCTGGGGGGGCTGATGATGATACGGACGAATCTGTTGCGGCTGTAGCTGGTGATGGCGAGGCTGCTGAGACGGGGTCAAGTGAAGTTGCTGTTGCTGAGGTCTGCTGTGCTGTTTGCCGCGTGTCCGAAAATGCTCCTGCTCCCGAATAGAGTGAGCGAACGTGCAGACGACGCCCCGTGGACAAACCCCAAAATGATTCATATCTCGACAAAGATTCACCTTCAGAGTATAATAGATTTGAAAGGAAGCCAAATGAGCACAAAAAATGTTATGACTCGAAGCTGTCAAAAAACGTCGCTACAATACAACAGAGACGAGCGCCATCCAATAAACAAACGACAACAATTAACTTTCTTTTACCTTATTTTTATCTAAAACTATTAATACATACTTTATATTTATAAGCCGGATAAGGAGACGGGTGCAATGGCGATACAGCTGGTGTTATTCCGTTATTCGAGCTGCCATTATACAGATGTTCATCGACATTGTGACCGTTGTTGTTACCACCGCCGCTGCTGCTGCTGCTGCTGCTGCTACAGACGTTACAATTAGCAGTGCTGTTATTATTGTTGTTTATTGTGCTACAGTTCATATTGGTGCTCCTCGTGGAGTGATGCTGCTGCTGCTGCGAGGGTTGTTGCTGGAATGGATGGGAGGCAGAAATAGGTGAAGGAAGACCATTTATCTTAGGACCGCTCCCTTGCTGCTGCTGCTGCTGGAGGAGTGAGAGACAGCAATGCACAGTAGAGACGGCTGCAGATATGAAATCGAAGACAGCCTTTCCTCCCGATGAAGCTACTTCGTCCGGCTGCCATTCGAGAATCTGCAACGAAAACAGCGGCTTAACACCCCTTCTTAAACGATAAAGCCATTTAGATTATGCACATACATGGCCTATCAAATACAATATGCTCCTTATAAACTATTCAGGCACGTTGGATTCTACTTGGACAAGAAATGGGTTTCGCTGTAAACTTACACTAAACGTTATTTAAAAAGCGTTACAAAAATATGTCTATACTATCGACTAAAAGTGATATACATAACTTAAGCTTCATAATTAAACTATTATTATTATTTTTCATTGTGCATCTCATTAAAGCATTGGCATAGAACATGTTAGATTTTCTTTTATATATGAAGACATTTTTTAGCAGTGATATGAGAATTAGTTTGTGGTAGAAGCATTTCTATACCTTATATCATCAAATGTCAATTATGATGGTGCCTATGCTTTTATTTGTTGGTTACGGTCAACACAACATGATCAACAGCTGTATTTAAACAAAAATTTATTTGCTCCCATTTAGACGTATACACAATGTCCGTATATATATTCGACATCTTTCGTCTGAAATGACTGATACCTTGAGAGGTTGCTGCAGTAGCTGAAGCAAGGACGCCAGCGGTAGGTGATTGGCTCTCGTGGCTAAGGACGATAATTCTCTAGTGGTCTGTTCGAGCGATTGCGGAGCCTGTAAACGATCAATGATACTCTGCATGTGAGATCTGTGTGTTCCGTCTCCATATAAAAGACTGCTCCATTGCTCCGGGGCGATACGCAATCCTGCCTCGCAGGCGATCGAAACAATCTGGGCATCGTGTTCACGTCGTAAGGATTCGTAGGTACGAAACTCCTGAAAGAGGACGCAGTAGAGGTTGATTTACCAATAGTAACTAACAATATATACATTTAGTTAGCCGTTTAGTCACAAGAACTAGTTATTTTGTGATATATAGTGTAAGCTAGTTTTAAACCTCAACCGAGCGCATAACGTCCTTTTTTTGGCAACCGATAAATTTACCAGAATCTTGACTGGCATATGCAGTACCGTGTAATCTAGAGTGGCAAAACTTTACTTTGCACAAAGATGTTACGGGTTAGCAATAGTTAATGATTTCGAAGGTGGTGTAGAAAAAATTCGATAAAGAAACTGGTTTCGTATTGCGAATGTAGAACGTCTGAAAACGTATACCTCTTTGAGCTGCATCAGTGAAGAATCACCGTCACGCTTCGCGACGACAAAACAGCTAGCCCGATATAGAAGTTGCACGACATGACCGATCGAGGTCTTCGAAGCATGCGGAAACAGTGTTGACAAACGTTGAACAACAAACATCACCAAGACCTATATAAAAATAGAACTTATTAACGACTTACGTAGTAAAAATACTCACAATGAATTCACTAAATAATATGGACTTGCTTCATGTAACAAACTAAGTCGGCACATCTGTGGTCCTTAGTGCTAATATATCTTAGTATCATGCAAACGAGTCTATTCATCTTACTATCTATTGATCCCGGTACATCACTAAATATATTTTGGTATAACAACTTCTTAAACATCTATTTATTTATTATTGTCTAGGTGTATTCCTAAAACCTTTCTTGAAAGTGCAGATCCATCTTCAAGCGCGAGCAGGACCAGCTTCAGAACCTCTTCCTGCATTGCCGGACCAAGGAACTGACAACCACGAGCTCTTACCGCTGCCCAGAGGGATGCCGTCAGTTGGCCAGAAGACTGCTGCTCGAGGATGACCTCAACAAGCGAACGTTCAGCTAACGAGCGAGCCGCCTTCAATGCCTACGGGAACAGAAGGCGTCAACATAAACTGCGCCGTTAGAAATGTTCTTCAAATTTTTGGCGCCAAAAACAAGGTTGCAACTATAATAGTTGTTGCTCCAGCAGCCAGCATAAGACGTCTGTTAGCATCTATCAAATTTTTTGGCAAAACCTATAACTGCAGACAAAGTGGTACTGAGTAACATATAATTGGGTAAATAATAGTAATCGTGTACTTCATAGCAGTCAAGAAATTATACGTATTTGTATGTCCACATCATCCGGAAAACTGCTGCAACCTTTATGCGATTGTTTTGGCAAGAAGGCACTACGTGTAAGAACAACGTTTTACGGAAAACGCTTAAACGTTTTTCGAGCTCTACAAAATAGGCATAAAATAGGACTTCGAAAAAATCTATTTTTTTCATATTCTGCCATGTAAGCGAAGACAATGATTTCTTCAGGAACCACTTAAGAATTCCTTAAAGATCCTTTTACATTACTTGTTTGGGTTCTTGAGCGGATTAATAGACACATGGATTTTCGAAAACTGGGGTTCGCTTCGCCATAAGCTTGTGAAACAACTGTAAGGACATAGCAATAGGACAGCGATGACCTCTTTACTCTTACCTGCAGGTTAGATTAAAAAGGTAACCGAACAATACTAACCAGCATCCAGTGTATATTTTTACAGTGGATAATGTAGGAAAAACGCAGGAGGAATTACAATGATCATGATGAAATTAATATCCGTCATCATATTATCTAATATTAGATGATTTTTTTTCAACGCAATACCTTATGTAGTCCGAAGGGTTCTTCAAGATTCGAATTAACGAATGCCAAAAGCTTTCGCAACATCGGCCGACTCAGGACGGCTGCATGCGCGTTTGGTGATGGTCGGAGGAGGCTGGCTAATGAACAGATTTGTCTGTACGCCATCGAGATGAAGTAGTCTATGCAAAAAATATCGAAACGACAGAACATAATAGAAGTCAATTTTACTCTTATACAAATAAATCTAAATGACATGTACTTTAATAAACAATTTTGAAATAGAATCAGCTTAATAATTTACTAGGAAACCTTTTTATGATAGCTAGAAGGAAACGGTCGCATCAAAGTATTAGCTTGCCGATAAAAAAAATATAACTACATAAAAACATCCTTACCAATATCTTCACTATTCTCCCGTCGCTCACCGAGTAACTGTAGTAAGATAAGGTTTTCACTGATAACATCATGTTCTGGTGAGTCGCACGTTTCGCGGTGTCGTCCTGTCGTCGAACATAGCTCACACACTGTGTGTCCGCAGGAAAGGACCTAATAATGGGCTCAAAAATAAATTATATTTAGTACGTGGGCTATTGCATTTTGCCAGTTCATGGTAAGCGTTAGCATAAGTTTGCAAGCACCATGTGGAGTCATAAGAGGCTTGAGTAACGCAATAGGTATAGCGTACACGTGGAAAGGTAATCAATATTTTGATCTTAAGATAGTCAGCAGCATACCTGAGGGCGTCGGATTTGTAGGGAGAATTCGCGCTCACAACATGGACACTCGAGGATGATCACTGCGGGTGGTGACCGTGTTGTAATAGCAGTTGTGAGAGTCGTGACTGAAGCTCCAGTGGACATATTGGTTGGACGAAGTTTTCCCACATCTGCAGATCTTGCTTTGCCTGATGGTGGAGCCATGATGGCGGAACGCAACCTGTTTCATTTGTTTTGATTATATATGTATACATGATATCTTCTTGAACTGATAACTTCCTATTTTAAAGTTACCAGTTCGATATGGTCTTCTATTGCGCTTGTAGGACTGCAATTATTTTCTATTATTTATGTTTCTATTTTCTCTAACCATTAATCGTTATGTGAAGAAAGCGTGCGACATGAAGTTAGGACTACTCCACTCGGTAATTATAGCGATTTCATTTTTCTAATATTCTGTTTTTACAATAAAAATCGAGAGCCGTCTAGTTCATGTAGAACGGATACTCTAATATGAAGTGTTTAATACCGATGTTCGGTTGTCGTATCGTTTGCTGATATAAACGAATGACGTGGTAATCTAGGCAGGACTCAAAAAGGAGACAGCAAACCTTGTCTCCCCGTTTATGACAACAACTCGATTATATAGCAACGAGTAGTCTGTAGCAATATCCCCTATATCAATATGAGAATGTACAGACCCTTGACGCTCCTCTAGTAGGTACAGAACTATGTCAACAATAAATAGACCAGCAATCATGCTTACCATATTTTGGATTCCTACTTAAATATACTTGAAAAAAATTTGCATATTTCTAATGTCTAGAAGTAGATGTCTTCCTTGTACAAAGCCTATTTTTCCATGTGGACTTGGTGGAATACATTCTGTTATTATGATCAGAGGTGCAGCGTTCATGATTCGTTACCTACTTAACCGATCCTTTCCAATACATAGTAAAATGATTGGATGCGTGATTTGAATCGTGACTTGTCGTAAAGCTAGTCATAATGCTAGCCCAAAAACTTCGGTAGGCTACAAGCATTCTATCATACGGCATTCCACAGCTGTGCTGTTTTCCTGCTTATTTACGTGTGTATTAATATCTCTATAAATATATTAATGGCTATTTTAAAAAGTAGAATATCAATTGCCAACGCCTTGTGTTGCTCTGGGCGCGCAACTTTTCGCATTGAACGTGTTGGCCGTTATGAGTCCTTAAATTTTTAAAACGTCTACTCTCTATGAGCCCAAAATTCAATTCAGCTGGAAATTTTTTTTTAGCTCATTCGAGCGGCGGGTTTATATCTGTTACTCAACGCACGTTGTCCATTGTTCAGGTACTGAAATGAAGGCATAGCTGCAGTGAATAATAATCACTTTGAATAAACATGACCACTAAGAATGATTCTTCTAGTTTGTTAGTTATATATTAGTTAGTTTTTAATTATTATATTAGTTTAATTAAATTAGTTAGTAATATTTGTTAGTTTTTAAACACTGTTTTGAAAGTAGTTTGTAAGAAAAATCCGGATATTAGATCTGCACGTCTTAACAGAAAGGCTAAATGTCGGTGAAGGCTAAACGTATTGCCGATGTGTACATTATTTGCATGCACTTGTCCTTCGCCAAATTGTACTAGTTGCCTTACTAACAGGCAAAGCCTACTAAACTAGGCTTTGCCTGTATATTTACTATATACTTAGTAAATTTGTACCTGCTCAATACGCCAGTATCTAGGACGAATAACGAAGGCAAATATTTAATGGGTAGTATATAAAATTAGCCTAAGGATTAGTTCGACCATTTATCCACGTGTGCGCTAGAAAATGCTAGACATAGTAGGCAGAACTTGTAACCGACGACTGGGAGCAAACATAATATTCCTAGTTCAGCGACGATTGATTTTTTTTTAATAATTATTATTTTTAATCTACGCGTAGTAGCAGTCGACAGAATATCGTTTAACGTTTATTACGCTAGGTCATAGAACTACACAACGAAGGCGTTACGATGAACCGTACTATTTTCTAGGAATTAATTGCTACGTCCTCCTCTGGCAGATCATCTTTGCTACCGAAGTGTGAGGCGGACTAGCTCTCACATCTGACAAAGTGACATGAGACGTATACAACAACGCCAATGACTTACTCGTTCCGTTACGCCAACCGTACTGTTAGTAATTGCATAGTCATCTGTTCAGAGATGACAATATCAGCAGACCATCAGTTTCTATTCCTTCACTGGCATAATAAATAGCACAGCGGTAATAGTAAACAATCGACTAGTAAGAACAACACATTGTTTTTATCATTCAGCCGTTCTGCGTCAGGACCAGTAAGCTTTCTTAGATGGGGTGAAACTTAGAGAAAAACCTGCTTTACTGTAACGACTCAGATTGTTTTAGCAATATCTGTGAAAGATTAACCCTCCTCGTTGACAGAGACTATCACACAGGTATAATAATTTGCATATACTTGCAAACTGCTCATTATATCATTTGTTATTTTCACAATTCGACTCCATTCGCTCCGTGCTCCAACTGCACCAATGGGCTTTGCGTGCTTACTTACCTTATTGACTCTAGAGATACTATGACAAGCACTCACGTTATCAACCTATTCATATGAGAAACACTGGAGAGTTTGTCCTTTTTTCCTCCGTACTTTAAACCCTCAGAGCAGCGATAATTAATGAGCAGGCTCAAAGCGCTCACCACCATGGTCCTTTTTGGCGCAAGGGGTGACTATTGGTGGCGACCATGGTCACGATTGCAGGAGACGAAGTTCCACTGTTCGTGGCGGTGCACAACACGAGCAACAAGACCAGCAACGAAATCTCGTTGACCTACGTAACAATGCCATTGATTTATCAGGCACTCCATCGACACATATCGGCGTATACAAGTAGTACTAGCGTATCGTACGCGTACTAGTTTTTATTGAAACTAGCTTCCATAGCATTTATATTTGTGTAAAATGCACGTAATCGACGGCGTTTTCATCATTAGTTCCTCGACAGCAGATTTGGGTCACTTCGCTGATAATAGACTAGAAAGAACAGAAGCCGGTGCACCCACCCGCAAAGAAATCTCCTACAATTTAATTTGTATACAGATACAACTACACGCACACAGTTAAACAAAATTGCACACACGGCACTGCAAGCTCGGCCTGGGAGCCTGCAGATTTGTCGCAGGACCTACAACCTTCTACAGAGTAACTAGTTCCAGAGATAATGTACCACAAAGGAAACACTTGTTTCTAATATACTGGAGCTCCGCCGCCCTATTCGAGTACACTCGGCTGCTCATTTAGCCCTGTGCTCACCGCAGCGGTCGTAGTAAGACAACAGCGGCTCTCTGGCTAGCCACCAGCAATACAGAGCCACTAGCGACGGTAACTAAACGCGCCGTGATGAATTGAGAAGAGTGTTGGCGAATCTACGAGCTTGTTACTTGGTCAGTTTAGCTAGTGGCTGGTTTCGTGCGGGGATCTACCTTGGGCAGTTAATGCCAAAGGCCGTCGCGCAGTCGGGTGTCGTCTCAACGAACTGCGGCGCCTTCTGCTGCCGTTCAATGAAGTACTCGCTCCAGGAGCGCAGCAGGGCTGTCCGGGCTGCCCGCCCTCTCCGAAACAAGCAAACGGCAATAGCAGCTGACAACTCGAACCAGGTAATCAGTCAGGAGCGCTGAATAAATACTGTACATTGGACTCAGTGGGCATCGTTCACCCTGCAAAGCCTCGTCCGAGGAATAAGACACGGCGAGCGTTAATCGACGGAACTCTGAGACGCGAAATGTCGAGACACGGATTGAACTATCGAGGGCTGGGTAAAGAAGAAGACGTTTTTGAAAACCGAATAGAAGAATAATTAAGAATTGTTGATCACAGTGAATAAACAGTAAATGCTAGTACTATAATCGTAGTCAGATATATGTATCGTGTGGCCGAATGCATTGGTGTTTGTGGGATTAACCATAAAAAATATCGATTTTCAATGTAGAAGCGAAATCAATGTTTTAGTTGGCGTCAATAGAACTAAAGTGCGCTTGTTTTTTTTTTCGAGAATAGCATAGATGCGAACAAGTTAGTCATATGCTGTACAAGAATGCACGTGAATACGTAAGTTTTACCGAACAGTAACGTCTAACTGCAATCTAGTGTTTACCAACTTTTTGGGTTTCAAGTTTAGTTGAAAAGAACAAACAATTAATTAGCTAATCTCCTACGATTACGAGTTTTTTTTTTTAACAATTTTCTGAAACACAATAGCTGAAACAATGCGGCACAATTTTCGACAAGCTTGCTTCAACTTATTTTGCAAATATCGGGAGGTATCGGAGCAGATCATTTCCTTTACCGAAGTACACAAAAGAAATAATCTAAGTTTGATTGTATCCTGCTCTGTGATAGCCCATTATTTTCAATGAAGTTTACAAACCCGTTCGAACTGTTACTATAGGTAACTGCAAAAATTAACTCGTGAAAATGAGTTCAGATGAACGAGACCGAGCACCATATACAATCAATCTCAAGTTATCGATAGATAAATGGGTTAGTTGGTCGGCGACGAAATGTTTGAAGTCGTATGCGGACGTTGCATCAGATGATCCAGCTCACCAAGTTCGCCATGCTTAATTACATAGTCTCCAGTATTGAATGAAGGCTACAGTAGAAATATATAGATATAGTTGTGTTGTTCCCACTGTGATGCAATCTTACTCGCGTACGAGAATAGTGCGGTCGATTGAATCCGATAAAAACACGCAGCAAATAGCATTGTGGATACGGCCTTTCAAGCTCGAACTTTGTTCGTGTACGCCATATGTGCCAATTTCCGAAATCCTATAGTATTTGTTAATTTCTTATCACCATCTGATTCGTTTACTCGACGTAGCTCACACTACATAGCAACATTAGAACTTTGCCGTATTACCTTAATATTTAAGATTGTATAAATCCAGCGAGACTGATCCTTCCAGCCGTACTATTTGTGTCTTTTTTTTGTTAAAAAATAAGGGTGAGATAGAATAATAATGTTATCTTGCATTTTACAGCATCGGTCCGTTGCGGAATTGGCTAAACTTAAAGCGACCTACCTAAAAATAGCCATTACAAAGCATGAGTTGGATTGAAATTAGAAAGGTAATTTTGAAACGTATGTCATTCATAACTTGCGAACTACTAATGATTAAGGTACTTGACAAATATAGGGCGGTTAAAGGATCTTCCACCCAATGACTCTTCTGCCACCCAACAGGATAGGTGGTACGGAAAGTCACATGCAACGAAGAATGATTAGAGCTATTTTAGCAAACCGTTCTTTGTTTCTTTTTATGAAGTCTCAAGCGGCCACTTCTATCGAACAGATTGCAATCGTTGGGTTCCGACTGTGACAACTCGAACGGATAACAGTACCAAATCACGTAGAAATGTACATCACTCACATTATATACGTCAGAACAAATCAAAATCGTAACGCCTAGCCCTAAAATGCGTGAAATATAAATGGTCATCATCACGGCCTCGCTCCGAAGCCTGCTTGTTCAGGCGTAAATAAAGGATCGGCTTCATCGACGGACTCAGGCTGTTTCTTTCTGAGGAGAAACAGTACAGTGCACCAAAACTGCCATATCGAAGCATCATCTCGATAAACTTCATACCCTGTCCTCAAAGGCACCGATGTGACCGAATGATGCTTCACTTAACAGAATCCTTTAGTTTGATCTCTATGAACTGATCAACAAGAGTCCAGCCTGCAAAGTGGATTTCGATGTTATATATCACTTTCTGACGGATTTCATCTGTACTCATCCCGTTCCCACACAGCTAAGCAGTTATTCATTTCCCATAATTAACGCCATCACCAAACACTGATTTTGTAATGATAATTCAATCGATTAATAAGACTGATAAATCCCCAAAAAAAAAGCCATCCCGTCATCAGTTGGCAGTAGCTTTCGGTTGCCGTTAAATAACACGTACTCTACGCCGCAACAGCATCTAGCAGAGTCCTCTTTGTAGCAATAGCGAAAATGATTTGTTCATAGAAGAGAACAGGTCGGCGTGAAATCTCGCAAAAGAAACCAACGAACCGTGCAATTACTTATATACGAGTTTCTCGAATTTTTGTTTGGAAAACTCCCGCATCTTTCTCTCGGTCGAAGTATTTTTCTGCGAGCATCCTCGCCATCGAACACCCAGAGGCTTCAGAAACAATAAGTCCTAATAATGTTATGTTCTCGTATTTTTATTACACACAAAAACATCTGCTGTTGTTGGATAAAGGTACAGACGCTCTTGGAGGACAATGCAGCCTGCTACGATATCCCATCGCTTTGTCAACTGAATCAGCCTTACTTCTGATATCAATACCATCTCCATGATAATTATATATTAGCATTGTTGTGATCATCACATTTAATGAAATAGCTATCTAAAGCTAGCATCAATGAATATATCGACCGTGCCATAGATAAAATGATGTAAATATGTGTGCGGCCATCTAAAATATTATTATAGATAACGAATTATTATTTCACTTTTAGCTTTTTCTTCTATCTAATCAGTTGCTGAATTGATAAAACTAACGAAACAATTAAAACCATTTTTCCACTGTGGGTTTAGTTTGTTTTGCTCATATAGAAAGAATACGTTTGCGCAAATAGCCTGAAACATTCATAATTCCTTATAGAATATTTATCTCTAAATTCCTTTTATAAAAATAACGTTCAAAAAACACATACATAAAATACGTTTAGCATTATCATTGCAGAATTGAGTATTTTATTGTAATAAATAATGTCATAGAATCTGTAACAATGCAATGAAATTTGTTAACTGATAGAAAATGGCCGATCTAAAAGCTATTTTTTCAATTGTTTGGAATGGCTTTCCAAAGTGAATTTTTGAGGAAAAGCAAAAGTTTGTGTTTATCTAAATCTGTTCGAAGATCGTGCGGAACGGAGATGTTGCCAAGGTTAGTAAAAAGACTTGAATATAATATTTTTCAGGAAGCTTATTCTCTTTTCTACTATACAAATGAAACTTTTACTCGTATCTCATAGCTGAAACGTGCCCTGAATAACAGAAACAAGTTACGAACCTTCTTATTTCAGCTGACCGAGCACCCATACAGTTGTTTTTCAAGCTTCAAATGCTCTACCGTCTACCAATGTTCTTGATGATAACGTCCTTGACGCCATGCTTCATAAGCGTTAAATCGATAACCGCATTAAAATATCAACTGCGCGACTTCAAGCCCTCCTTAGCGTTTTCACCGAGCTAGTATCTTAGCGCCAAACGCTTTCTCTATGATGAGCATTGTAAAATAAATAGAGATAGCGAGTTTATTTCGTGAAGCCGAGTTTTTTACATCCACTAGTGCAGTTAAGCACTGTATTGGACAGATAGTTTCCACTGGCACAAAATGAGATCACGGTGATTGTTTAACTTTAAAAGGCAAATACGCCATCATTGCACGATCACACGAATTTCAAAGACAATTTAAAGTCATCTAAATTTTGTTCCAACATCTTCCTATCGTAAGCTCAATAATTTTTTTTTATAAAGAGCTATTTTATAATACAAGGCGTTGTCGCTGATTAATATGTGGAGGATTCTTTTTCACAAATGGCGGACTAAGTAAGCTATCGCAGTTACGAGAACCTTCACACATCGCGCGTCCCGTTCAGCTACCGACTACTTCTGAAGTCTCGCAATTTCATTCAGCGAATCTCTTAGTTGAATCATGAAGCGATAACAAGGAAGCAGATTATGCCACCTAGACCCTCATTGTCAAAAGACTCCGCCAGTGCAGACAGATTTTCGTGACCCCAGTGAGAGGAGCGATTTCGGCGAGGGAGGGTATTCAGCTTCATTTAAGCCATGGTGTGGTCATGGGGTGCTGTTGTCACTCAGTAGTTCCCATGAATCATTTCAGACAAAATAATACGCAACGTGCCCCTTTTGATGATGGAAAATGACTTGCGTGATCCGTTCAATTTTAATGGAGCAGAGAGTCCAAGATTTCCTGATGGTGACAGTAGCAATTCGACAGGAAGCGCTCTCATTAACCCATTTGATCACTTCGAGCTTGATCTGGATATCGGTGACTACGAAGGCTTCGACACAGAGACCGCTGAACTGAGACGTTCTAATAGGATTGAAAGCCCGGAAGCTGATCAACAACAGTGCGGTCGAAATGAGCCGTCAGAAGAGAGCAGAAATCAACAAGCCGTTGAGACGGTTATCGCTGACTTGCTTAATTGGAGCTTGAACATGGGTGCAGATTCTGTTGTTGGTCTTAATGGGGACGACGGCAGAGCGGAGTCTGTTCATGAGTTGGACGACGCTATACACAGCCCAGAACATCGAGAGCAAGAGTGGACCCAAGGCGATTCTATACTCGGTGATGTCAGGTTTTACAGACAAACCCGCGACAATGAGACGCCAAGCTGGAGGTTTTTACATACCCATCAATATGGATCCGATGGTGAAACTGTAGAGGATGAGTCCCAGTCGGAGTCTGATGTTGGTAACACTACACTCGCAGGAGAGCAGTCGCCTATAGACCTTGTGCCTTTGCCATTAGAGGGACGATTTGAGGACATTGTACACTCGTCGGATAGGTACCCTAATAGAGAAGACCTCTCGCAGAATTTTCTACCGTCAAATGGTGAAGAGCCGATGATGTGTCTAGTGATTCGACGGTTACCTCTTCTGCCTCGTCCA